GTGAAGCAGAGTATGTTGCAGCAGCTTCAAGTGCGTGTCAAGCTCTGTGGTTAAGCTATGTAATGGATCAAATTCTTTTTCCAGTTAAAGAGCCAATGAAGATCTTTGTTGATAATGTGTCTGCAATAAGTCTAGCCAAAAATCCAGTCACACATGGAAGGTGCAAGCATATTGACATACGGTACCATTTCTTGAGTGATCAAGTTGGGAAGAAAACAATAGAGTTAGTGCATTGCAAGTCAGAGAATCAAATAGCAGATTTATTTACTAAACCATTGAAGTCTAAGGCATTCTTCAAGCTAAGAGACCTACTTGGGATGACAAGTCTCCAGAATTAGAATTGAGGGAGGATGTTGAATAAGTCAATTCTTATTTTATTTATCATTATCATGTTTATTTTTTAATTAGTCATAGTTAGTTGGATCCTATTTTATAGGATCTGGATCCTAAATTGTAGTGCTTCCTGGCCTATTTATACTTAACCATGTAGCAAAGAATATGTGTGTGAGAAATACAATAATCTAATTCTCTTACTCTCTCTGTACGTTGCAAGCTGCACTTTCAAAGTTTTTTTTCTTTCTTTTGTTCCAACAAAAATGGTGCCCCTCGATCGTCCTTCGATCGGTCAACACTGTTATGTGAAGCCATTGCACAGAAGGTGTTCCCCAGAATGTCCCATCCAGAATACGAAGGAATCGAAGACGCTCATTACATACACAGAGTCCGGGACCGTCTCCGGAAGGAAGTCCTTGTTCCTCTCCGGAAGGTCCTAGAATTGCCGAAAATCTACGTCGGAGCCAACCGCTGGGACTCCATACCCTACAAGAGAGTCCCCTCTGTCGACATGAAATTCTATAAGGACAAATTTCTCAAGCACGATGGTGAACGATTCCAAGGCTACCTGGAGTCCGTGAAAAAGGGGGAAGCTAAAATTGCAGCGGGCGCTCTGTTACCGCATGAGACAATCCAGGCATTAAATGATGGCAAAGCTGACGGCGGGGAAGTAGCGGAGCTGCAATGGAAGAGAATGGTGGACGATCTTCTCCAGAGAGGGAAGCTGAGGAACTGCATGGCAATCTGCGATGTCTCGGGAAGCATGACCGGAATTCCGATGGAAGTTTCGGTGGCGTTAGGCGTTCTCGTTTCAGAGCTGAGCGAGGAGCCATGGAAGGGGAAGCTGATCACTTTCAGCGCAAACCCGACTCTTCAGATGATCAAAGGGGATTCTCTCCGGGAGAAGACGAGCTCCGTGAGGAGGATGGATTGGGGGGCGAACACGAATTTCCAGAAGGTGTTTGATCTGATCCTGAAGGTGGCGGTACAGGGGAGACTGAAGCCGGAGCAGATGATCAAGACGCTGTTCGTGTTCAGCGACATGGAATTCGACCAAGCCCTGGGTACCTACAATTCATCGGGAACCCGTAATTCCTGGGAAACGGATTACCAGAAGATAGTGAGGAAGTTCAATGAGAAGGGCTACGGGGAGGCGATCCCACAGATTGTTTTCTGGAACCTGAGAGAATCGAGAGCCACCCCGATTCCGCGGAGCCAGGAGGGAGTGGCTCCGGTGAGTGGGTTTTCAAAGAATTTGTTGATGATGTTCTTCGAGGGAGATGGTATGATCAACCCTGTGGAGGTCATGCAGTCCACCATCTCCGGCGAGGAGTATCAGAAACTCGCCGTGGTAGACTAAACCACAAACTTTTCCATTATTGTTTTTCTTTTTCTTTTTTCTGGATATTAAAATTCATTTGAGATTTTAGATTGATTTTAATTCTAATATTTGAAGCCTGTAAAGGCACTGATCGAAGTGAGTTGATAGTAGAAGATCAGTTTTTAATTACAAGTTATAAATAAGAAAAGTTGAGCCTGAATTTGTAAATGACATTAGAAGAAGTGAGTATTTGTAATTGGGTTAATTTTGAGTTAAAAGAATTTGGTCCAAATTTAAATCCAAATTCTTTGAATTTCTAAACAAGTAATTTAAATCTAATTCAGATTTAAAATCCATATTCAAGTTCCGAACACACCAATTATATTGTTTGGTAGCAAACAAATATGTGGATTAAAATTGGAAAATAAACTATAGAAGTAAAACATTGAAAATATATCAAAATAAGAATTCCATACTTTTATTTTTGAAATAAAAGTAAAAATACATTCACATTACCAATCATGACTATATACCTCACTAAAAAGTATAATAAAATGCACATGTATAATGTTGTTTACTTAGAGTGATTTGTTTTAAAAAATTAGCTTGTTCTATTCAACTTATGTGATTGATTCTAATTCAATTTCATTAAATTTTGATTTCAAAAATTGATATTAATTATATTTAATGCTTCGGGTTTAACTCATTGGTGCAAGCTCGGGAAGTTGAAGCTTCCCCCCTAAGATTAGTGTTTGCATGCGGAGGGCTTTGAGAGGTGTTTTACCACTTTAGTAAGATCATTCATTGCCCTTTTGATGAGGCCTTCGCAGTTAAGGAAGCGTTGTCTTGGCTCAAAGAGCGCGGGGCATCACAGAGGTAGCTTTTTTCTCCGATTTCTCTTTGCAATCTTTAAAGAAATAAGAGGTCCGTTGAAGATCGTTCCTATCTGGGCATTATTTAGAGTGAGTGTAGGATCTTCGCATCTAACTTTTCACAATCGCATTTCTTTTATTTCTCTCGTATGGTAGTTTAAATTCTCTAGCACATACTTTTGGCTAAAAACTCCATCTGAGGTTGGTGACAATGTTTGGCTATCCGAACCACCTGCTTGTATTTCTCATTTGATTGGTTAATGATATGTGTGTTTACTCTAAAAAAATTAGTAAAAAGGCACTAAAAAAAATAAGTAAAAAGAATAGGTTCATGGGAACAATTCCAAGTTCAATAAATCATTACAGGAAAAATTAATCTATATGTGTCATAAATCTTCTCAAAGTTACTTTTTGTCTATTTTAACAAAAGTGGGTAGATGTATTAAATGCGGTGGCTAAGTTATTGAGTTGTTAAAAAATAAAGTGAGGATAATTATGGTATTTTTTAAATATAGCAAGTACTTCCGAGATACGAGGCTGCAAGACAACCCAATTACGAGGCTCCAATAGCTTAGGCACGAATATTAAATCTGTGATTGTCATTGTTTGACCAAAAAAATTAAAATAAGAAAAAGTTTTAGAACCGGAGAGAATTATTTTTTATTAGAGGAAATGTTTAAAAATAATGTTTAAAATAGAAAATTTGTGATTAAAATTTATTGATTTTAATGTATTTTTAAACCAACCTAATAAGGAACTATATATGAGTTCAAATGTTTTCTACTTCCTATTAAATTGTATTGGGTATAAAAGTATTCACCCTGTTCCAAAATATTTTAAACTTTACACAAAATAAAGTAAAATTTAAATTTTTTAATTTTATTTAAAGATTAAAATAAAGATTATAAATTTAAAAACTACGTCAGAAGTTCTACAAAACAATAAGTGATAAAACTTTTTATTTTATCAAATAATCAATCAAATTACACAAACAAACACAAATATGTGTAACGTTTGAATAATGTAGCGTGTTATCCTCTCTTAGACAAAGAAAATATGGAGTATAATTAAATTGAAGAATTTAAAATGATTTTATTTAAAAAAACAATGAAAAAAGAGCATAAAAAAAGCAACAATACGGAAATGTAGAAAAAGAGCATGCAAGTGTTTTGGCAGCAACGCGAAGGTATAAAGCGACTGTATGCGCCACTACCCCTAGCCGCCCTTTCTCCTTTTTATTTTTGTTTATTCCTTGATTTGAGATTACTCCACAATTCTCAAGAGAGATGTTAGGGGTTGAAACAAATCAAATATTTTAAACTCAATTTGTGATTTGTATTTGAATATAATGATTCAAATTTGTATTATTCAAATACAAATTCAAATTTAAATATTATTTTTGATTCGAATATTAAACAATTACAAATACAAATAAAGATATATTCGATTCGGATGATATTCGAATATTCGAATATATGTATATACGCACAGACCATGTTTTCAACATGAATAGTTCAGCAAATTAATATTGATACATGACTATATTTAGTTATTTACCATTATTATTATTATTATTATGGTCCGGTTCTAGTGACACTGGAGAACGGTGCCACTCTAGTGCCACTGGATTTTTGGGGCACCTCCGGTGCTCCGTTCGTAAAATTAACGGTTCCTACCCCCCCTAACTCACCCCCTAAACCCCCACCCTACCCCCACCCCTGCACCCCCACCCAACCCCGCCGTAAGCCCCCCCACAAAATGTGTGGCTATTATGCAATGCATAATAGGGTGGGGGTGCAGGGGTGGAGGTAGGGTGGGGTTTAGGGAGTGGGTTAGGGGGTAGGAACCGTCAATTTTACAAACGGAGCACCGGAGGTGCCCCAAAAACCCAGTGGCACCGCTAGTGACACCGTTCTCCAGTGTCACTAGAACCCCACTCTTATTATTATATTACTATTATTATTACTCTAGGTAGTTTTATTATTTATGGTTAGATAATTATATTATTATTAGGAAGTATAATTATATTAGATTAGTAGTATTATGGTTTTGGTTAGGATTATCTAGATCTACCATCTATATATGTAGTCATTACTCATAAAATTATTATTCAATCAATAAGAAATCATTTTCCCTAAACCCTAGTCTCTTCCTCTTCCCTCTTGTTCTTCTATTACGCCGAACAGAGTGTCGTGCAATTTTCTATTCTCTTCCTTTTTCCCAATTCCATATCTCGAAGGTGCTAATCCTTCCGTATCCTGATACGATACCGTATCAATTGATGCTTTCATTCTTGAACTCACCCAAAAAAAGTAAAAGATTAGTCACTGCCATCAAACTTAGCTTGCCGCCGTCGTGCAGCAATTCAAGGGACAGCTGCAACGATATTTGATCCGTAAAGAACTACATCAGGTACGATTTTTGGAAACTTTGCCGTTGTTCCAAGGTTGACACGAATCTGATTGCAGACGGATTTTGGCCGGGACTTATCTGGTCTTGCGCATAATTGCTTGGCAAAAAAATTGGTGATAATACCCTCAATTTGGTTGCTTCGGCCTAGGCAAAAAAAACAAGATTTGAGGTATTATTACTATATTTTTTTAGTGATATTTTTGTGTGGAGGTGTTTATTTTGGCAATGGACTCACTGTTGGACAAAGTTCTTAGTTTACTCGAGAAAGTTGTACGGGGACGAATTAAGTTTTATGAAGGAGTGTGTGCAGTTGAAGATTCCGTGGATGAGATTATAAAGAAACTTCAGGCATTCCGTCAAATTGAAGGTCAACCAAAATTTGATTCCGAGGTATATGTGTTCGCCGTAGAGGCCTCTTGTTCAATACAAGATTTAGTTCGTGGTCCCCCAATTATGCCGAGCCTGATTTCTATAGAGTTATACATTTTCAAAACAACCATGATGCGCCCAATAAGGAAAGTCATCGGCACTCCACGAGATTCGGCCCCTAGAGTCCCTGTGCAGAACACAACTTTGCAGAACCAGGAATTTGAAAAGGAAATTTTTATTGATCCTATTGTTGTTCCCGATGATGATCTTATAATTGATCCCATAGATGTTGTTCCTGTTACCGTTGTTGATGTTGTTTTTGATGTTCCTGATGACGATCAACAAGACCACACTGTCCAACCAAAATATTCAAGTGATGGTGTCATTTTTTATGGATGCACGGAAATATTTGGGACGTCAGAAAGTGACGTTGTTGTCCTTTATAATTCTGAGGATGTTGCACGTGATTGCATAATATTCCTACTCTTGGTTGCCTGGAACTGTTTACTTGACATTAGGAATGTTTTAGGTGTGACTCGTTCTTTTGGTGCTCCAAGGATCATGGTGTTTGACCCCGGAGGAGGGACGATGAAAGGTGCAATATTCCCGTTCGTTATTTGATTTCCAACTTGAGGACAAGTTGGTTTTCGAGGCGGGAAGAGTGATACACAACTATATTTAGTTATTTACCATTATTATTATTATTATATTACTATTATTATTACTATAGATAGTTTTATTATTTATGGTTAGATAATTATATTATTATTAGGAAGTATAATTATATTAGATTAGTAGTATTATGGTTTATTTAGTTACCTTGTATGGTTAGAATTCTCTAGATCTACCATCTATATATGTAGCCATTACTCATAAAATTATTATTCAATCAATAAGAAATCATTTTCCCTAAACCCTAGTCTCTTCCTCTTCCCTCTCGTTCTTCTATTCTGCCGAACAAAGTGTCATGCGACTTTCTCTTCTCTTCCTTTTTCCCAATTCCATAGCTCAAAGGTGCTAATCCTTCCTTATCTCGATACGATACCGTATCAAATATAGTATAAAGTGTATTTAAACTACTAAGAATTCGACAAATTAACATAACACGAAAATCTAAATCATATGATTTTTAATATTTATATTTTATAAAATATAATTTGTGTAAGATACAAATATATTAGTGTTTTTAGATACAAAGTATAGTATAGTATATTATAAGGAGTATCGTAAGTTAAATTACGAATTGATGTTGGTCCATCATATAAATTACCGAATATGATTGTTCAAATATTTATTTAAGATTCGTTAACTAGTTGAACATTAATCAAATACATATTCAAGTCTTATTTTGAATTCATCGCATATTCGGATTTAGATTCGCATTCGAAAATTAAACAATTACAAATTCAAATACGGAGTATCTTAGTATTCGCTTTGATTCCGTTCGTTTACACCCCTAGTTAGGGGTATACTATTTGAGTATTTGGTGTACCCCAAATAGATTAGTTGTATATCAAATGCATTAGAAAATTGGAATCAGTATTTGGAACCTCTGAAGGTTGTGAAGTCACTTTTAGATTGAAATAATTTGTCGGATCACACGAATCTCTCAATCAGATAAAATTAAGAGAATTTAAGAAGGAAATATGAAGATGTAATGATTTTCGAACCTATTTGATTTTCGACAAAGCCTTGCCGAATACTTATAGAAGCGGAGAGTGAGAAGCGATATGATGACATCACTCTTCTGAAGTTCGCGTCTAATCACGCAAAATTAGGAGCGTTCTTTCGGAATTTCTTTATAACCTCTTCCGAAAAATAGAAATTCAAGTGAATTTTTATCACAATACTTGTAAAACCCGTTAAAACAAGACTTAGATTATAACAAACTCAATGAAGCATGCACCCTGCATCATCAATCTTCTTTGATGATTAATATGATAAAAATTCCAATTATACTAAAATCTATAACATTCCTCCTCCATTTTAGTGTAATCCTTGATTAAGTAAACAAATTCATAACAAACAGCAAACTTAGGCATATATAAATGAAATATCGTGACGACCGAATTTCATCTTAGTACATTACACATTTCAAATATTCGAATATTAGGGTATCTCTAAGGATTGAACCCTTATTATTCATTTGAATACATGAAGATAATATACACAAAAGTTTACATACTTCAATGTTCTAACTTGACACTATTATTTACTAGCCTTGTGTTCTAATAAGCATATCAAAGCCAAATCCCTACTTCTTGAAGCGGCTAAACTTCATACTTATATAGGTAGCTCTTTTATTCTTGCACCTGTAATGCAATTTTTCAATGGAACTATTCAGAAAACATACTTGAACCTCTTAATCTTACAGGTCTGAACACATACCTTGAGATGATATATATAATTAACGTGTTCCTTACTTTCAGTATCTAATGTCATATTAGATGGGAATTGGAAATTTTAGTATGAGAAACTTAGATGGACTTCGATCGAGTCTCCGTAGCTAATCTCTACAAAAGATTTTATACTTCACCCTTTGGTCAAATGATTAGCTAAATTCTTCTGACTTCTCACAAACTCCACTAATATTACACCGTGCATGATGAGCTCACGAACCATGTTGTATCTCATGCCTAAGTTTCTCGACTTCCCAGTGTATACTTAACTATAAGCCTTAGCCAAATTAAAGTACCTTCACTATCACACATAATAAATATGTATGGATACCAATTTAGTAGCAACTCGGTTTGCTGATCCGTGTAATCGGGTTAGGCGGGTTGGGAAGTTACAATGTAAGAGCTTCATATGCGGATCAATGGGAGTGCTCATCGGAGAACAATATTTGAAGTTAATTAAATTTCTTCAAAATCTTCTCAATACAATGTGATTGAGAAATAGAGATCCTATTATTCTCACGTTTGATTCTTAGAGATCTCCTTATGTGATTGAGAATAGTCCCTTCTTTTGGCGATCTTAAAAAATAATTGCACCTTTCAGTGTTGTGTGAAAATACCCAAAGTTATTTTACATTTTGAGTCAACTTTACATTCTCGACCGAAAAAGTTAACAAAATGATGAGTTAGAAATTCTTTTATTTAGTTATCGACCCAAAATAATCCACCTTTCGCGAAGTCACGCAAAACAAGCCCACATTCTATTGATTTGCCTATAATAATAATTATACTTTTTAATTTCTTTTTATTAAGTTTTTCTCTCAATTTATCGTTATTGAAAAAAAAACGTAGTAAAATATTTTTATTAATCAATACAAATTTGTCTGAATGGATGAAAATCTTTAGATGATTACATAAATGTAATTGATTGATATCCGAATCGCATCTAAACAAACTCAGAATTGAAAAAATGTATGAAACTAAATTGAACCCAAATGGAACCGATCTAAACCAAACTAATTATAATATATACCCTAAAGATATCTTAACCAAAAATCTAAACCTGAACCCACCCTACACCTATTCAATTGTACCTCCAAGTTTATTTGATCTTGGATTCAAAAGTTTAACTCTAGAGTCAAATAAACGTGGGGGGGNCGTAATATCATTTTACGAACGGAACACCACAAGACTCCTAGATCATTCATGATAAAAAAAATCATCCTAAATAGAGTAAAACATAGAGAAAGTATTAAAACAAGAATTCCATATTTTTATTCCAAAATAGAAGTTTGTATTGTAGTAATATGATTGTATATATGAACATTTTACAATACTTTTTGGTAATATATATGATCATGATCAGGGATGGCAACGGGTCGGGTTCGGGTCAGATAGTACTATACCCGAACCCGACCCGACTTTTAAAATTGAAACCCAAACCCGACCCGAAACCTGACTTTTTAAGCAAAAAACCCAACCCGACCCGAACCCGACATTCCAACCCAAAACCCGAAACCGACCCGAAACCGACTTTTAACCAATAATCATTTCAATGCACCCCAATAATTTTAAAAAGATTAAATGTAATTTTTTTGTTTCTCATTTTTTTTTATTAAGGAATTATAAAAATGATTATAAATGGCATATTTGATATAGTAGCACTTTGTCAAGAGATTATACAGAGTGCTCATTATATCTATAGATAGGCTTTTACTCCCTCCGTCCCCAATTTGATTACAAATTGCGGGTTACGGAGTAAAATTTTCTACTTTTTAAAATCATTTTATTTACAAATTGGTATATCAATAAGATATAAAAATTACATACTAAAAAACTATGTCAAAAGTTCTACAAAACAAGAGGTGACAAGAATATTTTATTTTATCAAATACTTAATGAAATCGCGTAAACAAACAAAACTTATCGAGAGGAGAGAAAAAAAATTGTAATCTATTTAGGGACGGAAAGAGTATGTTACAAAATATTCGGGTTTGAGTCGGGTCGGGTGCGGGTTTAGGTCAGGTAAAATAATAAACCCGCACCTGACCCGACCCAATGTCGGGTTCGGATAAAAAATTTCGGGTCGGGTTCGAATTATTTTATTCTCGGTTCGGGTTCGGATATTTTAGTGATCGGTAGGGTCGGTTAAGCTCGGGTTCGGGTTGAATTGTCATCCCTAATCATGATTGATACGATAAATATATTTTAATTCTTATTTCAAGAATAAAAACATAAAAACTTTTATTTTTTATATATATTCTTAATATTTTAATCCTACCTTAATCTTTTTTACTTTATAATGTAACATTGACATGAAATAAGTGGGGGTATTTACGTACTCAGGGAGTTCTCCGTATTTGGTTCTTGGGCGTCAAGAATCCTTTCCCTATTAAAGCAGTGTATCAGTCGGTTCTTCGCCACAACAAACTCACAATTTTCCGGCGTTCACCCAAAACAAACTCTCTCTCAAATTGCCGATAAACCTTATGGCTCTACTCGGACCACCGGAGCTCCGGAACGCCGCCCTGCCTTCGCTTGAAAATAACACCACACCACCATCATCCGGCGATCCATTTGTGGATCTCATGGTCGCCAATTTCAACGCAGCCAAATCCTCCCCGCCGATGGGCTTCACCGAGAACATGGCGGCAACCTATCTCTCATCCGGCGACCCCTGCCTCGATTTCTTCTTCCATGTCGTCCCCGACACCCCGGCGGGATCCGTCGAAGCGCGGCTTTCCGCCGCGTGGCAGCACGACCCTTCCACGGCGCTCAAACTCATCTTCAACCTCAGAGGCGTCCGCGGTACCGGGAAATCCGATAAGCAAGGGTTTTACACGGCGGCGATTTGGCTCCACAACCACCACCCCAAAACCCTAGCCTCAAACATATCTCACTTGGCGGATTTCGGTTACATCAAGGACATGCCTGAGATTCTATTCCGCCTTCTCGAGGGCGCCGATGTTAGATCCACGCAGAAGACTGAATGGGATCGGAGGAAGCGTCTCGCGGCCAGAAAGAGCATAAAGATGAAAAATAAGGGCACAGTCAACAAGAAGAAAGTTATGTACATGGTTCCCTCTCTGCCCAAAGAAGAAAGGAAACTTGTGATGGCGAAGAAGGTGATCGATAAATACAACGGCAATGGAGATTTCCGGTATCTTTATGACCAGATCTCCGATTTCTTCGGGGAAGCTCTCAGAGCCGATCTGGAGCGCTTGAAGGTAGGGGAGATGCACAAGATCAGCCTCGCTGCAAAATGGTGCCCCTCGATCGATTCCTCCTTCGATCGGTCAACACTGTTATGTGAAGCCATTGCACAGAAGGTGTTCCCCAGAATGTCCCATCCAGAATACGAAGGAATTGAAGACGCTCATTACATCTACAGAGTTCGGGATCGTCTCCGGAAGGAAGTCCTTGTTCCTCTCCGGAAGGTTCTAGAATTGCCGGAAACCTACGTGGGAGCCAACCGCTGGGACTCCATACCCTACAACAGAGTCGCCTCTGTCGCCATGAAATTCTACAAGGACAAGTTTCTCAAACATGATGCGGAACGATTCCAAGGCTACCTGGAGTCCGTGAAAAAGGGGGAAGCTAAAATCGCCGCGGGCGCTCTGTTACCGCATGAGATAATCCAGGCATTGAATGATGGCGAAGCTGACAGCGGGGAAGTAGCAGAGCTGCAATGGAAGAGAATGGTGGACGATCTTCTCCAGAGAGGGAAGCTGAGGAACTGCATGGCAATTTGCGATGTCTCGGGAAGCATGGAAGGAACTCCAATAGAAGTTTCGGTGGCGTTAGGCGTTCTTGTTTCCGAGCTGAGCGAGGAGCCATGGAAGGGGAAGCTGATCACTTTCAGCGCAAACCCGACTCTTCAGATGGTCAGTGGCTCTTCTCTGCGGGAGAAGACTAGCTTCGTAAGGAGGATGGATTGGGGGATGAACACGGACTTCCAGAAGGTGTTTGATCTGATCCTGAATGTGGCCGTGCAGGGGAAATTGAAGCCGGATCAGATGATCAAGAGGCTTTTCGTTTTCAGCGACATGGAATTCGACCAAGCCTCGGGTACCTACAATTCATCGGGAACGCGTAATTCCTGGGAAACGGATTACCAGAAGATAGTGAGGAAGTTCAATGAGAAGGGCTACGGGGAGGCGATCCCACAGATTGTTTTCTGGAACCTGAGGGACTCGAGAGCCACCCCGGTTCCGGGGAGCCAGGAGGGAGTGGCGCTGGTGAGTGGGTTTTCCAAGAATCTGTTGAAGATGTTCTTCGAGGGAGACGGGATTATCAACCCTGTGGAGGTCATGCAGTCAGCCATCTCCGGCGAGGAGTATCAGAAACTCGCCGTGGTTGACTAAACCAGATTCGTTTCCATTAATGTCTTTCTTGTTTTAGTGGTATCAGTATTGCCATTAATAAATCATTACTACTTGTGCCGTTTTTTTGAAGGTTATAAATCATCTTTTCGTTTCCAACGCTAACTATTGCTTGGAGAATCTTTTTCATGTGACAGAACTTCAGAATTGTTTATTGGAATCTGTTGCACATGTAGATCAATCTCAGTTGATAGAGATAACAATCAGTCGCATAAACTTTCTTGAGCCTAGTGTTTTGCAGCACAGAAACTACCGTTGTAGTCCCTAACGATCTATCCGACGTTGAGCTTTACCCGCCCAATTGGTGGTTTCTTCCACGAAGAGAGACGTGGTTTATGTTGTGACGGTTGTTTTTTTGGATAAAGTTATTTGTACCCCAAATATTTGTACTCGATTTTGTACACTTTATGTGCGCAATAATATTTTATGTCGGTGTAATACTAATTTTTGTTAAACCATCAACGCTTTGTGTCAGTGTAAATTTTTATTAACGTACCAACATTTTGTGTTAATGTAAACCATCAAAATATTAGTGTATATACCTTTGATGTAAGTTTGAGATACAAATTAGAAGAAACTAAAAAATCAAAAGAAATTGGTAAAAGTAGAAGAACTAGAAAAACTGGGAGAAGATAGAAAAATCTAGGAACAACTTCAAAAAAAATTAAGTGTATTTTTTATATTATTTTTATTATAATTGTTATTATTATTGTTGTTGTTGTTATTTTCATAAAAAGTAAAAAAAAATGAATAAAATTTGACCATGTGAATAATGTAAATGCTATTTAATAATGGACAGATGAGTAATATAATTATTATTTTTTAATTTAAAATATTGATATATTCCCTAGATCTATTTAGATTAGTTAAATATCCATAAATTTTGGAAGATAGTTAAGTGTCATGTAAATTAATCGAAAAAAACAATTTTTCCAATAAACTTGTACTTTGTACAATTTTTATTAAAAATTTGAAGAAAAAATAATAATGACTTTGAATCATGAAAATAGTTACATGGGAAAATTTTAAAATAAAAAATGATATAATTTATAAACTATAATTATGAACATAATAATAATAATAGTAATAATAATTAATAACAATAATAATACCAGTAATATTAATAATAAATATAGTAGTAGTAGTAGATATAGTAGTAGTAGTAGTAGTATTAATAATAATAATGATAATAATAATAATAATGGAACTTGATTTCACCGAGTAATTACCTCAATAATTCTCCACTTAAAAATTACAAGGATAGAATTTGAATGAATATAAAAATGAGAATATTAAACTCAAGAATCTATAAATAAATAAGAAGCCGCATTCTTGCGCATTTCGTGAATATATATTTATAGCTTCCCATGCTTCTCGGGCCTCTTTTATTTTGGATAGGAAGCTTGGTGGGTAAACTTGTACAACATGATAGACCTACTACAAGTATGGATATGCTAGGATACAGGTAGAGGTAAAAGTTCAACAGGAGTTCCCATTGATGGTTCTAGTTTATAGATGATAAAGATAGAGTGAAGAGCCATGTGATCTCCTATGAATGGTATCCTTGTCTCTGCTCCCACTGTGGAAAACTAGGGCACCTACAGGAATCATGCATGAAAAAGGGGATAAACCTCTTGAAGTGAGAAGAAAACTGGTTTGGAAACCTAAACCGGCTGAAGTTAACAATGACCAAGCACCGGAAATGGAGAATAAGAAGGAGATGGATAAGATCCCTGAATCTAAGGAGGAGTTTACAGTGGTTACTAGAAAGAAAGCAGGGAAACCAAAGGTTATGGACATCAATGAAGGAAATGGAATAGAAGCTCTAATGAAGATTGTGGAAAATGCCCCATATACTGGGCATTATCCTTTTTTATCATGATAGGGAGTTGGAACATTAGGGGACTGAATAGTCCCATGAAACAGGAGGAGATTAAGTGAGTTGTTAATAAATATGATATAGGTTGGATTGGGATTCTTGAAACTAAAATAAAGAAAAACAATTTTGTTGGGATTGAGAGCAATCTGTTTACTGGATGGGGTTCTTTCATTAATAATGAAGCCCACCCTCTTGGCAGAATATGGATAGTATGGAATAAGAGTAAGTATGAGGTAAATGTGATTGAATGGAGTGACCAACTTGTTCATTGTAAAGGGAGAATTATTGGGGATACTCAAGAGTTTTACTTAACCTTTGTGTATGGACATAATAGCTCACTGGATAGGAAGGGACTTTGGGATCGTTTGGAGAGAATTGCTGCTAGTATGGTGGCTGGATGGAGAATTATTGGGGATTTTAACTCTGTCCTTAGCTTGAAGGACAAATTTGGTGGAAACAATGTCACTGAAGAAGAAACAAAGGAATATAAAGAGTGTATAATAACATGTGGGATGGAAGAAATCCCTAGTGAAGGTAGCTATTATACTTGAAGCAACAAACAAGGTAATGAAAATAGAATTTATTCTAGATTAGATAGGGCACTCTCTAACCTGGAATGAATTATGAAATTTGACGAGAAGGTCCAGATAATTGAGGAAGGTATATCTGATCATTGCGTTCTACTGATTAGAACCCATATGCAGGACAGAAGGAATGTGGGATTTAAATATTGTGATATGTGGGAACTAGACAATGATTTTAAACTTATTCTCCAAGCAGTTTTGAATAAAGATATCCCAGAATGGTTCATGTATCATGTGATAAGAAAACAAAAGGATCTTAAGCATCCTTTTAAACAAATTAACAAAAAATTCCATCACATACATCAGCAGTGTGAACTTCTCAGAGAGAAACTTAGTGACATTCAAAGCAAATTGAAGGGGGATATTAACAATAGAAGCCTGCTAGATAGGGAGAAGGAATGTCTGTAGGAGCTTATATTCAAGAATAAGGCTTCACATATGATGAGAATGCAACAAGCTAAACCGAACTAAATTTGTGAGGGTGACCAAGGGTCAAAGCTATTCTTTGCTTGGACTAAGAAGAGAACTATTCTCAACAGATAACTTCAATCATCACTGATAAAGGGGAGAAAGTCAAGGGCAGAAGCAAGGTAGCAGAAGTTATGGTTGATTATTTTCAGAAACTGCATGGGCATAGAACCTAGACATACCCTATTCAGGTGGATATTATTAATATAGGACCTCGCCTGGATGTTGCTCAACAACTTCAACTGGTGGATCCTATCTCTAATGATCAGATTAAAGAGACATTATTCTCAATTCCCAATACCAAAAGCTCAGGCTTGGATGGATTTAACAATGGCTTTTATAAAAGAAATTGGAATATTGTGGGGGCATTAGTGTGTAAAGCTGTGAAAGAGTTCTTCATTAATGGGAAGTTCTCTAAGCAACTTAATGCCACCAATCCGATCTTAGTCCCTAAAGTGGATACCCCTAGAACACCTGCAGATTTTAGACCAATATCTTGTTGTAATGTACTTTACAAAGTTATGTCAAAGATCCTCTGCAACAGATTGAAGAAGGTATTGCCAAGTATGGTCAGTCTCAACCAAGGAGCATTTGTGGAGGGGAGGCTGCTTGTGCATAATGTACTCCTGTTCTAGGAGCTCGCTAAGTGTAACACCCCAACCCGCGTAATCCGAATAAATAGGTTAGCGAACCGGGTTGTTACTAAATTGGTATCCGCACACAATATTTCCAATAAATAAAAAAAAACATTTAATCAAACATCCAAACATTTCAATTAGAACTTAAACGTTTATCGGAGTTAATTCAAAACAGCGCAGAAGCAAAACTGTTATTTTAAATAAACATATTTAATAGATCATTATCAGAAAACAAGTTATAGTACAACCATCATATCTTTTAACGGTTCGAGTACTGCATCCGTACATCTCCTCCGTCTCTGTGCCCTCCAGGATTAGCTCGTTATTACCTACGTGTAGAAAGACAGAACAAACTACACGCTCAGCGATAAGCTGAGTGAGAAATATCTAATAGTTCGAACATACACTTAGATGAATCCACTAATTCACAATTATCACATGATATCATGCACACAACATGCTGGGCAACGATCATACGACATACAAGATATAACATGCATAGTCAACATTTATTTCCGCTCATCATGCACACAGGTATAATAATGTTTAATATTCGAAACATCTTACGATATTCATATTCATTTATCCAAATCACACCTCTTAACCTATGATGGCTAAGGCAATTCATATACCTATGAGTCATGGCACCCCAAGCGATGCTATAAAAGGGCCAGCTCTAGAAAACCCAAAGGAGATTCACTCTGGGCGGGTTGAAGCCCCTGTCTCTGTGATGCCAAGACAGTTCAAGGACTTCCGTACGTACGTTTTTAACCCAAGACCACCGGGTGTGCGACGACGTCCCGCAATGGCCTAAACTCTAGACTCATCCTATTGGTGATCCAATCATTCAATCCAATTCAGGTCCGCCTAATTAAACTAGGTGGCCTATTTCCAATATTATTCACAATTCACAATAATCACCAATGAGATTAATTTAGTTCACACTCAATTCATTATTCAGCAACATATCAAATAGTGGCCTATCAGAACCAAAGGCCCATGATTACCGTCATGCTAACATGGAATCTCAGAATCAATCCTAGACAAAGACACAGATCAACAGAGCATCAACCAATAACAATTCTCATAACAACAACACCAATAGGTTCATATTAATGTCCTAAACATTATCAAGCACCTTAACTAGACAATCAATGCCTAAGCCACGCATACTACCCTTTTCGACTCAATGGCAACAATTCCCAAAACCCCAATCAACAATTACAAGGATAAATCAAATAGATCAACCACGATAATAATTATGAACAGAATTTCAAACCTAAATGCATATTCTAGTGTTAGATGTCCACGTACTCACCTCGTTAGTTCGATTCAATACCAGGGAACGTCACCCGGAGCCGGTCACCCAAATTGACTGTCGAAACTGCCCGTTCTAGCTGGACCGACTTGCTGCCCGATCATCGTCGGAACTAAGGGGGTCACTAAATTGTCGCTGGTTCGCCGGAGTCACTGCCCAGGCACCATCGCCGGTCTACCGCTGTGCTTTGTCGGAACAGGCGTCGCTGGACAGGGGGTCGCCGGCGGAATTCGTCGTCGTCGCTGCTGGACTCATCGCCGGAGGGAGTCGCCGGTCGTCGCTGTTGGGAGCTATTCGCGAGAACGGAGGGTAGCCTGCCACTAACCGATCAACGTCGATTGGCCTCGCGTTGTCGCCCTCTCCCGTCGCCGCTATCTAAAGTCGTCGAAGCTGCCAGGAGAACCGCCGCCGTCGAGTTTGCAGATTTGCGTTGCTGCTCGGCTTGATCGGAGAAGAAGAGAGCTGGAAGCGGCGTCGAATCGTAGAAGAAGGAGAAGATCCGGGTTTGAGGACGAGGTTATATTAATATACCTAGGGTTTTGTGCTCCGTAATTTAAAATAACATGTCTGAGTAAAACACACTTTCCGGGCTAACTTGCTTAGAATTGAGATCCGTTCGTGTCGTTGGGTTTGATTCATCGATCCCTACCCAACTATATAACTTTTATAACCAATTCACTAATATTTATAGGTTCCACCTGATCCGTCTTAATTCTTTTGATCAATTACTACTGATCAGTCTTTTACTCTAAATCTTTACAAATATAATCAGATTAGTTTTGTTATGTTGAGACGATTAGAATCTCCAAAATATATTTTAATTCTTTAAAAGAATGGATTATCGTAATAAATAATTCTTATTTATTTAATTATCAAATAACTTCTAGACCGGTTTCTGGGGCGTTACACTAAGGGATATCACAGGAAGAACATCTCACCTAGATGCTTAATGAAGATTGACCTAAAGAAGGCTTACGGTTGCTTTAAACTTTCCTGAGCAGTATACTCAGGAGCAGTATACTGATTGGGTATACTACTGCATTTCACACACCTCTTACTCTTTGCTGCTCAATGGGGAAAATGTTGGCTTCTTTAAAGGAGGTAAAGGGATTAGACAAGGGGACCCAATATCACCCCTGTTATTCACTTTGGTTATGGAGTATTTAACTAGGGCCCTTTCTTTTTATGCTAATAATAATGTTTTTAAGTATCACCCAATGTGCAAGAGTCTCAATATTATAAGTTTGGCATTCGCGGATGATTTGATTATTGCTTGTAAAGCTGATATGGGATCAGTTAAGACCATTATTTCTTGTCTTAACCACTTCAAGAATGTCACTGGATTGGAGTTGAATTACTCCAAGTCTTAGATGGTGCTAGGTGGGATCACTGATCAAGAGGCTGATGGCATTCTAAGAGAGGCTTAAAATGGAAAGAGGAACACTTCCTTTCACATATTTAGGGGGTCCCATTACCCCTAGCAGAATATCTGAAAGGGAATGTAAAAGACTGATTAATAAGTTGACTGTTAAGATCACTAGCTAGGCTACCAAACATCTCTCCTATGCAAGGAGATGCAAGTTAATTAATACGGTGTTAATGGGGGTGATCTCGTTCTGGTGTAAGCTGTTTGTTATACCTAATAAAGTAATGCATAAGATTCAGGCTATATGCAGGAATTTTTTATGGGGATCAAGTGCAGAGTATAAGAGGAACCCATCTGTGTGTTGGGAAGAGGTATGCAAACCCAAAAATGTTGGGGGTTTGGGCTTCAAAAATCTTGTCTACTGGAATCAAGCATGTAATCAAGGACTACTTTGGGATATTGCAAGCAAGAAAGATATACTGTGGGTTAAATGGATCCATAATAGGTACCTCAAGTGTGATACCATATGGAACCTACAACCAAAGGCAGGTATGTGCTATTATCTGAGAAAGATGTTAAATAATAGAAGTCTGTTTGCTGGAATGGGATGTAATGGGGATTATTCTAGTCAGAAATGGTATGAATGGCTGATGGGGGAGTGTAGTGTGTTCCAGGCATATCAAATACTCCCTCCGTCCCAAAAAGATCGTTTCGTTTCATTTCTTTGCGCATCCCTTAAAATATTTTTATATCGTCTCAAATGCCAAAAAAACTTTCAAAACAATTTCATCTTATAATAAAGAGTAAATATGGTAAATTTTAGAAATTTTAGATGTGAGTAGCATTGCTTTTTGTGATGCGCAAAGAAATGAAACGTAACGATCTTTTTGGGACGGAGGGAGTAGTATGGAATAAACTCTCAATTCCTAAACACCAATTCTTCCAATGGCTGGGCTGGAAAAACAGAGTACCTACCAAGGATAGACTGAATAAATACATGGAGATGGACACAACTTGTGTGTTGTGTAATAATGGGGTTTAAGATCAACAACATTTATTCTATGAGTGTGATTATACTAAATGTGTCCAGAGTAGTATTGGAAAATGGGTGCAACTCCAATGGATGGCGAAGACTAATGAAGAGATGATGGCAGAAGTCAAGAAGATCAAGGGAAGGCGGCAGATACAAACGACAGCAGCTGGGTTTGCAGCAATATGCTATGAGATATGGCATGCTCGTAACCTCAAAATTAAGCAGAATCGTATTATTTCCCCTGAAGAATGTAGCGCTTGGATTAGGGAGTACGTGAGAGTTTACATAAATACTAAGTTGAAGAGGGTGTGGCTAAGGTAGGGATGTTTGGGTAGCGTGGGTGGGTTGAATTGTATTTGTATTAGTTGATGTGGTGAATAAAAATTATTTGCATTTGTTCAAAAAAAACTTTTTTCAACTTTTTTTAATTTCTTTCAATTCTTTTCAGTTTTTTCTAATAATGACTTAAAGATGTATTTATATGTGATAAATATAAAATTAAATTATATAACCAAATTTATAACATACCCTATTAAACACAAACAATGATGAATTTCTTTTTATCCAAAAATAGAGATTTCTTATATATGTATTTAATTTTCCAATTCTTTTCAATTTCTTTCAACACCTAACTCAAAAATTTCAACCATAAAAAACAAAGTCTTAATCACGATCCTCTTTTCATGAGATCCGATTGGGTCTTATTAGAAATTTAGATAACTCCCTCCATAAATTTTTAACCCATTAGTATGCACTTCAGGGCCTAGACGGGTCGACTAGCCCATAGGTCTCATGGCTTTACCACGGGACTGGACTTAGTCTCATAGGCTTCAACTTGGATATGAATATTGGGCCAATTGAATGAATATTCATCTCTCGATCCAATATACAACACCAACCCGCTAATGTCTTGTACATGTTAATTTGTCAAGAAATAAAAATCATCGACTGACGCACTCAATCGCCTTTTGGTACTCTTCATCATTAAGATGAAACTGGAAAGAGTCAAAATGAACTAGAAAGAAATAGAAAAAACTATGAGTTATAAAAAAATTTGGAAACACTTGAAAGGAAATGTAAATAGTTAAAAATACTTGAAACTGTTGAGATCTAAAAGAATAGAGTCATAATGCTAAAAAGTACTTTTGAATGTTAATGTAAATGCCAAATTATCAAAGTATAATAGTCTTATTTTAGGGATAAATATATAAGTCTTATCTTGAGGATAAAATCTACTCCATCCGTTCCTGAAAACATGAGGTATTTTGATTTTTAAGGAATGTAAAGGAGGGCATTTTGATGTTAAGTTTCCAAAAATGTTATTGGATGTGATAGGTAAAAGTAGGATTTGATATGTAGATTAATAATGAATATATGTGATATAATAAGTATATTAAGAATGAGCAGGGATAAAAATGACTTTTTAATAGAAATGAGGAAAAAAAAATGTGACAGATGAAAAAAAGAAGAAAAATTTTTATGGACTGATGAAGTATATTCCTGTCTTAACAAGATACATTTTTTACTTGATACTTTTTTACTTAACAAAAAATATGTCTTAATAAGATACCCTCTTTACCTCAAAGAGGATATCTTATTAAAATATGTTTAATAAGATACCATCTTTACCTCAAAACATATTTGGACCATGCTAGGGTGCCACCACATGAGTGCTATCATGGGTGTATTCATGCTTCGCACAGACATAATGGTCTGTGCGACACAGACAATTATCGTCTGTATTTGTCTGTGCGAAGCATGGGTGCACCCATGGTAGCACCCATGTGGTGGCACCCTAGCATTTTCCAACATATTTTATATTATCTCCTTCTCAGAAAATTGGTCTACTTCCATTTTTTGTTGTCAAAACTAATAAAGTTTGACCAGTTTTTATTTAAAACCTAAATTAGATATTAATACAAGAATAATTTTATTTGATTTAATATTTATCTATTAAAAAAATTTTAAATTCTTTTTTAATTGAAATATGTATTTTTTATTTAATTAAAAGTAAAAAATCGGACTTGATTGGTCAAAACTAATATTTTGCGTAAATAGATGTGTAAAACTTTTATGCGTTACATTCCCATCATGTTAATTAAAGAAACAAATGTTAATGAAAAAAAAAACTAGAAAAAAAGGAAAAAGAGTTGGGGGTATTTAGGTTTTTAGAGAGTATTTGTTCCTTGGGCGTCTCGGGCCGCCGGAGCTCAGAAACGCCGCCCCACCACCCTCACCGCCTCCTGAAACCAACACCAAACCACCACCATCCGCCGGAGTTCAGGAACGCCGCCCCAGGGTCTTCAATCCGCCGATGGGCTTCACCGAGAACATGGCGGCGACCTATCTCTCATCCGGCGACCCCTGCCTCGATTTCTTCTTCCACGTCGTCCCCGACACCCCGTCGGGATCCGTCCAAGCGCGGCTTTCCGCCGCGTGGGAACACAACCCTTTGACGGCGCTCAAACTCGTCTTCAACCTCAGAGGCGTCCGCGGCACCGGGAAATCCGACAAGCAGGGGTTTTACGCGGCGGCGATTTGGCTCCGCCGCCACCACCCCAAAACCCTGGCCTCCAATATCTCTCACTTGGCGGATTTCGGGTACAAGGGCATGCCCGAGATTCTATTCCCTCTTCTCGAGGGCCCAGACGTTAGGGCCCAGCAGGAAGACGGAATGGGATAAGAGAAAGCATATGGCGCTCATAAAGAGTAGTGAGTGGAAATGTAAGGGCACAGTTAAAAAGAAGAAAGTTATGTACATGGTTCCCTCCTTGCCCAAAGAAGAGAGGAAACTTCTCATGGCGAAGAAGCTGATCTATTGATACAACGGCGACGGAGATTTCCGGTATCTTTACGACCGGATCTCCGATTTCTTCGGGGAAGCTCTCAGAGCCGATCTGGAGCGATTGAACGCCGGAGAGATACACAAGATCAGCCTCGCCGCAAAATGGTGCCCGTCGATTGATTCGTCCTTCGATCGGTCGACTCTGTTATGTGAAGCCATTGCACAGAAGGTGTTCCCCAGAATGTCCCATCCAGAATACGAAGGAATCGAAGACGCTCATTACATATACAGAGTCCGGGACCGTCTCCGGAAGGAAGTCCTTGTTCCTCTCCGGAAGGTTCTAGAATTGCCGGAAACCTACATCGGAGAGCCAACCGCTGGGACTCCATACCCTACAACAGAGTCGCCTCTGTCGCCATGAACTTCTACAAGCACAAGTTTCTCAAGCACGATGGCGAACGATTCCAAGGCTACCTGGAGTCCGTGGAAAAGGGGGAAGCCAAAATCGCCGCCGGCGCTCTGTTACCGCACGAGATAATCCAGGCATTGGACGACGACGAAGAAGACGATGAAGAAGACGACGAAGGACAAGTAGCAGAGCTGCAATGGAAGAGAATGGTGGACGATCTTCGCCAGAGAGGGAAGCTGAGGAACTGTATGGCGATCTGCGACGTCTCGGGAAGCATGATCGGAACTCCGATGGAAGTTTCGGTGGCGTTGGGCCTTCTCGTTTCGGAGCTGAGCGAGGATCCGTGGAAGGGGAAGCTGATCACATTCAGCGCGAACCCGAAACTTCAGTTGATCATAGGGGATTCTCTCCGGGAGAAGACGAGCTTCGTGACGAGGATGAAGTGGGGGATGAACACGGACTTCCAGAAGGTGTTTGATCTGATCCTGAAGGTGGCGGTGGAGGGGAAACTGAAGCGGATTACAAGAAGATGATCAAGAGGCTGTTCGTGTTCAGCGACATGGAATTCGACCAAGCCTCAAAGTCCGGTGAAACCTGGGAAACGGATTACAAGAAGATAAAGAGGAAGTTCAGGAAGAAGGGGTTCGGGAAGACGCTGCCGGAGATTGTGTTCTGGAACCTGAGGGACTCGAGAGCCACGCCGGTGCCGGGGAGTCAGAAGGGAGTGGCGCTGGTGAGTGGGTTTTCAAAGAATCTGTTGAAGATGTTCTTCGAGGGAGACGGGATTATCAACCCTGTGGAGGTCATGCAGTCCGCCATCTCCGGCGAAGAGTATCAGAAGCTCGCCGTGGTTGATTAAACCCTTATCATCCCGTTAATGTCTTTCTCGTTTTTTTGAAGCTTATAAAACATCTTTTCCTTTCCAAATTCCAATGCCTACTGCTCCTTGCTTTAGAGAATATTTTTCATATGACAGAAGTTCAGGATTTTTGTTCTCTTGCACATTTCGACTATGTTTGGTCAAAGAATTTGAACGAGGAAAAAAGAAAATAAAATGAAGTGAAAAACAATTTTGGGAGGAAAATGAGAAAAAATTGTTTTCTTTTTTTTTTCTTCCAAATTCTTTGAAATGAAAATAGACCTGGCAAAAAATGACCCGACATGTTTTTGACCGAAAATCTGACCTGAAAACACCGGGTTTTGAACAAAGGTTTTGTTGACCGAACCCGAAAAATGGGTTGAACACGACCTGACCGACCTGCTAAAGTAAGAATTTTTCACAATCATACACTTTATTAATCGTTTTTAGTGTATAAATTTATATTTTCTGAAATTTTTTTAATGATATTGCATAATTGTCTTTCTTTTTTCCAAAACTTAAGTCATTTTTTAAATTCCTTATATTGATTTATATATTTAAAAATTACTTTAGAGTTTAAAATAAAATACCCGGAGTAATCTAATAGATGTAATACATTTTTTTGATATTTCAAATTTATTTAATAAAAAAAATTTAAGTGTTAATGTGAATTTTAAAAGTTAAAAAAACCAAAGTCATAACCCTTTGGGTCGACCCAACCCGATGATACTGGGTCATGAACATACACTTCTCAACCCAAACTCGAATTGACCCGAACCTGAAATAACCTGAATTTGAAGTGATCGAACTTGAACGCAACCTGACCGACCGATTTTCCAGCTCTAACTAAACATAGTGTTCGAGGTAACGTTCAGTCAAAATGCATAGTTGACCCTTAAATTGATTTGGAAAAACTTCAATCAACACTGTATTTGTTGACTTCTAATTATATTAGAGAAAAAATTATTACAAGAATCATAATTTTTTATCTCTAAAAAAAGTTAAACTTTTTTTTGGAACAAATAGAAAAAGAAATGATAAATTTGTTTTAAGGATGGGAGAGTACTATGGCAACTAACAAACTTTGCATTGAGTGTAAATTGTCAATATTTGATGGTAAGAGTTATTGTTTGAGTTTAACTCATTGTGTGGTTGTGAAAAGAATGGTGGAATAAAAGAAGACTATAATTAATCTATGTTTGGATGAGAAAGAAGAAACAGTATTTCGAAAAGAAAATTTGTGTGGGACCAATGCGAAAATTGTTCTCATAAGCAAAGATGAGAAAACACATCTTAATTGTCTTTTCAATTTTTTACTATTTTTATTATTTTCAATCTATTTAAACACTAAATTTTTTCTCTTCATTTTTCTATTATTTTCTTTTATCTCATTTTCTTTTCTCAACCAAATAAATCATAAGGGTTAACCTTATGGACACAATAAAGCCAATGCAAATTGGTACAAAAAAGGGGTTTTTGTGGCATCTCTCTTTGCCATAATTGCGAAAGAGAAAAATTTACCTAAATATAACTAAAACATAATGACTTTCCCAATATAGGATCATATGTTTTTATTTTCCAATGTAGGACCTTTGGTCATTATCAATTAGTCATTATTCAAGTAAATGTCCATCATTTCTGGACATTATTCTTCTCACTAGACATTATTAAGTCCTATTTAGGGAATAAAAAAGTTAAAGTCATACATTGGGAAATGACTTACTCCGTATGTTTTAGTCTTATTTACTGCAAATTTCACTACTTTTTTATGGTTTTATTATAAAATAGGCAAAAGTCACAAGAATACCCTCAGAAATTAAAGATTTTACATAAATACTCCCAAATTTGTTTATTTACATTGTTACTCCCACATTTGTTTATTATTTACGTCGTTACACCGCGATTGCTTCATCACCAGTGTTTCTCGGGTGCGTCTTTTTAAACGGGGTTCTTCATCTTTTTTTATTGAATTCAAATTAAATTAATATGAACAGACTTGATATTAAACATTAAAAAGATTTAGGAAGTTTGAAATCTGATATTTTTTAAAAAATGATAGAAATAAGGGCAATGATTAGGCTTACTAAGACGTGAGAAAGTCGATGGAGAAAATAAGTTGAGGTGAATTTGGTATATTAGATTGAAAAAAATACATGTCTGCATTTTAACTGGTCACTTAGCGCAAAAATAATGCATCCAAGTAACACTAATGATCACTACCAAATTTTGGAGCAATGACGTAAATAAAAGAAAATGTGTGAATAATGATGTAAATAAACAAATTTGGGAGTATTTATGTAAAATCTATAATTTTTGGGAGTATTCTTGTCAATTTTGCCTATAAAATATCTAGTTTTCTGAATAGTTGCCTTTTTTGTTTTATAAAAAAAATATGTTAACCCCAATTTTAAATGGGGGTATTTTATGTTTTTTTAATTTGGTGTTGGTATTTTTTAATTTAGTTTTGTGTAGGTTCATGTAAATCAATAAAATGTTGTCTTAATTAAATATTTACATTTTATATGATTTTATGTATTATAAAAGTAATTATTTTTAAAAATATTTAATTAAAATTATATTACAGAGTATTAGTTAAGTTAATAATTTAAAGATTATTTTTCAAATTATTTTATATTATTAATGTAGTTAATTATTTGAAAATGGTTGTGTTAAGTCGACGTATTGGCGTATGTACACCTTTAGTTCTAGCAAAAAACCATAAAATTTGTAAAATGTGATATGATTATGATATGAAAGAAAACGATGCATGATACAATAAGAAAAATGAAGTGTCATCTATTAGATTTCTCACTATAATAATTGGGATTATTAATGTTTTTAACCTTTGGTTTTTTTATTTTTCATTTTTGCAAAAAAAATAAAAAAAATAAAAAAACCAAAGGTTAAAAACATTAATTTGAGACGACTCCTTAAGGATTTCAAAGAAGTGAGAATGAAATTAACCTTGGTCGAACCCATTCTTTTCTAAATGTCTAATTTACAAGTTACAACAATCAGAACAACAACACTACATAGAAAAGAATCTCAATAGATTGAGAGTTCTAAAAGAAAACCACTACTTGGAAGGAAATAATACAACCGATATAAACTGTTAAAGGAAAGAAAATATTTGGTAGAATATTTGGAGATATTTGTGTATATATTATTTTTGGTAGCTTCCTTGTATAGGGTTGATTTCGTTTCCTTTTGTGATTAGGTTTCTCAATCTGTGAGAGCCTATATATACATGTCTACTTTGTAAATTGAACACAAGAAATCCAGAGAGAATTTCCTCCCAATTATTCTTTCATAATTCTTTCATGGTATCGGAGCCAAAACCCTAGAAATTTTCTACGACTACTGTTCACGATCGCCCGGCATGGCGTCCATCGATCGTTGCTCAGTTTTAGTCGGTTGTTGCTGTTGCCGGATAACGGAACGGTCGACCGTTGCTCTAGAACGGTCGAGCACGTCGACCGTCCCGTCGGCAGATTGTTTGATTGATGCTGTTGTTGCTTCGTCCGCCAACGCCGTACGCCACTCTGCTACCGCCATGGCCGATGAAGAAAACCAAGGAAGATGTTTTTCTCGCTATCATCGTGTGTTTCTAGCTTGAAGCTTTCAGGTATTCCTGTGTCACCGCGGTGGATTATAGATACTGGGGCATCAAATCATATGACTGGTGATATTTCGTTATTGTATGATGTTGTGGGAATATCACCATGTGAGATTGGTTTGCCCAACGGGAAAAGAATTGTTTCTGTCCAATCGGGGAAGATTAAATTGACAGAAACATTAATTCTACATGATGTTTTATATGTCCCCACTTTGAGTTGCCATTTAATCTCTGTGTCAAAATTGACAAGGGATTCGAATTGTGAGGCACGTTTTGCCAACAATAAGTGTATACTACAGGATCTGAATTTGAAGACAGAAATTGGTA